CCCGCCGCGGGGGGCGGGGAGCCAAGGGTGGCTTGGGAGGATGGCGGGGAACTGGAGCTAGCACCGGCATTAGGAAGGAGAAAAGCCTTGGTGAAAACTGAGAAGAGTCAGAGAAAAGGGAAGGGAAGACAGACACACAGTTACAGTGGTTATAATTTAAGCCTTGGGCCTCTGCTTATGGGATTTTATCAAACATGTGCCACGATGATTACTATCTTACACTCAATCTACAGAAAGATTAATATTTAGTTACCTCAGTTCTTGGAATAATCTGCAAACACTTGTTGGGACAAGATACCGGGTACTCAGGACACAGATTTTCCTCATGTTTCTGAAACAGAGAAAGTGTGATGAAACAACGCCAACCCTTGCTTCTAAGGGTTCTCTTTTACAGCCTTGCAGTGTTTACATATAGATATATCTCTGGGGGAATGTATGTTATGTGGCATAACCTCTACAGGAAGGTATGGCCTAGTTCCTAAAAGGATTAATGATGGCTGCTTTCTTGGTATAACAGTTCAACTAAAAATTTTCTAATTATTCCAAAAGAAGGTTAGAGATATTTGCAATGACACACACACAAAAAAAGAGTAGCTGCTGAGTCTGCTTATGTACAACCAAAAACCTATAAGATCTGGCTTCTTAGTTTGGAGGTTTAGGGTCATGGGTTCATGGGTTCATGGGACATCCCAGTTAATTGGCCTAATACCATGTTTAGTGCCTCTGTTCTACCTCCTAGTTTGCTGCATAGGGTCCAGGGTCTTAAAAACTTGCAAGTGGCCATTCAAGGCACAACATCTGGCCTCTATTTGCTTGGAACAACAGAGAAAGAAGGAGAGTCAGGAACAGGAGGAGGAAATGGAATGTGTGACTAATTTCCTCCATGAACAACTGCCTCCTTTGCCATGAGACCAGAAGAACTGGATGGTGCCCAGCTACCATTACTGAAAATTTTGATCAAAGATTCTGTAGAAAAATCTTGATCAAAAGAGGGAAAATGCAGAACAGAATTTCAAATTCTTATGGACTCCAGACTTTCTGGAGTCATGGAGGCTGGATGAACCCCTAAAACTAGTGCCTTGAAATAATTTTCAAACCAAAAATATCCCCGTAAGTATTCTGAAAACCAAACAATAGTTTCAATTAACTAGTAAAAAATGTCTGCCTTGAGCATTACACTCTTTTAAGAACTATCTATATGAGATCAAACTGACAACATCAACTCAAAAGATTAGATAGCAACGATAGCAGCAGTGAATTTGTTAACGGGGGAGGAACAACTTAGAACAGGAGGGTGAGAAGGGTTACATAACTCGAAGAATGTAATCAATGTCACTAAATGGTACATGTAGAAACTGTTGAATTGGTGTATGTTTTGCTGTGTATATTCTCAAATACAAAAACAAAATAAATAAAATTATATATATAAAAAAGGTCAGAGGGCACAGGATTCACAGGGGACGATTGTGGGAGTTATCAGTATGGGTACGCTGGCACATGGAGAAGGTACCCTGTATTCTCTTTTTATGCCTATATCCTACCTCACCTGTTAGATCACACACATCTTAAGGGCAAACAGTATCATGACCTCCTTGTGACCCAGGGCGGAGCAACTCTCCTTACACAACTGCACACAGCTCAAATCATATTTTTGCTGATGATAAATAAGGTCCTGTCAACAGGCAGGTTTTAAGTTTTTCACAGAACTTCTCTCAGATACACTTACTCTTTTTTTAAAAAACTGTGGTGAAGATACACATTTAAAAAAATCTATGCCATCTCAACAATTTTCACATATACAATTCAGTGATACTGATTACATTCTTCAAGTTATGCCATCATTCTTGCCATCCTCTTCCAAACCGATAAATTTATTCCTTAGACCAGATTCTACACAGAAATAAATCCAGAAATGGGCTCCTGGTATGCCACCTGATCCACTGTGATCACTCAGGTGGAATACAGCCCCATAAAGAGGATTGTTACTTCTACCTGCAGATTGATGACCACCACATCCTTCTTGCAATAAGGGCATTTTTCCTCTCGAAACTGGCAGTATGTACTCAAATGCTCTTTCAGATCTTTCCGTAGGACTGATTCCCGACAATTCTCATGAGAACACTCCACAGCTTGAAATAAGCACTGCAGAAGGTGATCCTGCAACGGGTAACAACAGGCCAGTGTCACCCATTATCCAGGGCAGCAGGACGGGGAGCCATCAGGGAAGGCCTAGCGGGGGAAGAGAGAACACTGTGCAGAAAGAGGAGCACAGCCTAGCAGCCTCTGCCTGCAGGCTCCTGGCCTCTGGCTCCCCCTGCCTCAGCTGAGTGGGCTGCAACAACTGGAAGCAGTCAGAGCCAACCTTGTTTGGTGGAATTTGGAAGGCAGGGGAAGATGGGTAAAGAGGCAAGAGGCTGTTTGCTTTAGATTATCTAGTAATATGCTCATATTCTCTGCTTAGTTCTTGCCTATTTTTCTTAGGCTTGCCAATTAAATTACCAGTTGCTGAAGAACATCTTTTATTTCTTTTGTGCACCTTCCATCCCCATCCCCAGATGGTAACAGACAGGGCAGAAGGAAGAAAGTGAGGGAAATGGCATATCTAACTAAATGAACAAAGGGAGAAGATTAAGGGAAAGAAAAGGAAGGGAGAGGAAGCTGTTTCAGAAATGGGACAGAAAAGGAAGTAGAGGAAATATAGGATCCCAGGCCCAAAAGAAGCTGGGAATGGCCTGACTTGTAAAGTCAGGAAATATTCTTAACCAGATCACTAGAGGATGCTGACATGCTGTTGTTATGTGCTGTCAAGTTGGTTCTGACTCACAGCGACCCTATGAACAACAGAACCAAACATTGCCCGGTCCTACGCCATCCTCGTAATCACTGATATGTCTGTCAGCCCATCCTTGCAGCCAGTGTGTCAGTCCATCTCACTGAGGGTCTTCCTCTTTTGCGATGACCCTCTACTTTACCAAGCATGATGTCCTTCTCCAAGGACTGATCCTTCCTGATAACGTGTCCAAAGTAAGTGAGACGAAGTCTTGCCATCCTTGATTCTAAGGAGTATTGTGGCTGTACTTCTTTCAAGATAGAGTTGTCCGTTGTTCTGGCAGTCCATGATATATTCAATATTCTTCACCAACACCTAATTTAAAGGCATCAATTCTTGTTCGGTCTTCCTTATACATTGTCAAGTTTCCCATGTATATGAGGCAACTGAAAACACCATGGCTTAGGTCAGGCAAACCTTAGTCCTTAAAGTGACCTCTTTGCTTTTGAACACTTTAAAGAGGTCTTTTGCAGCAGATTTGCCCAGTGCAATACGTTGTTTGATTTCCTGACTGCTGCTTCCATGGGTGTTGATTGTGGATCCAAGTAAAATGAAATACTTGACAACTTCAATTATTTCTCCATTTATCATGATGTTGCTTACTGGTCCGTTTGTGAGGATTTTTGTTTTCTTTATGTTGAGGTGTAATCCATACTGAAGGCTGTGGTCTTTGATTTTCATCAGTAAGTGCTTCAAGTCCTCTTCACTTTCAGCAAACAAGGTTGTATCATCTGCATATCACAGGTTGTTCCTGAGTCTTCCTCCAATCCTGATGCCCCATTCTTCTTCATATAGTCCAGCTTCTTGGCTTATTTGCTCAGCATACAGATTGGATAAGTATGGTGAAAGGATACAGTCCTGACACACACCTTTCCTGACTTTCAACCATGTGCTATCCCCTTGTTCTGTTCGAATGACTGCCTCTTGGTCTATGTACAGGTTCCGGATGAGCACAATTAAGTGTTCTGCCATTCCTAATCTTTGCAATGTTATCCATAATTTGTCATGATCCACACAGTCAAATGTCTTTGCATAGTCATAAAACACCGGTAAACATCTTTCCGGTATTCTCCGCTTTCAGCTAAGATCCATCTGACCTCAGCAATGATATCCCTCATTCCACATCCTCTTCTGAATCCAGCTTGAACTTCTGGCAGTTTCCTGTCGATGTACTGCTGCTGCTGCAACTGTTTCTGAATGATCTTCAGCAAAATCTTATTTGTGTGATGTCAGTGATATTGTTCAATAATTTCCACATTTTGTTGGATCACCTTTCTTTGGAATGGGCACGAATATGGATCTCTTCCAGTTGGTAGGCCAAGTAGCTGTCTTCCAAATTACTTGGCATAGACGAGTGAGTGCTTCCAGTGCTGCACTAGTTTGTTGAAATATCTCAGTTGGTATTCTGTTAATTCCTAGAGCCTTGGTTTTCACCAGTGCCTTCAGTGCAGCTTGGACCTCTACCTTCAGTACCATCGGTTCTTAATCATATGCTACCTCCTGAAATGGCTGAACGTCAACCAATTTTTTTGGTACAGTGACTCTGTGTATTCCTTCCATCTTCTTTTGATGCTTCCTGCGTCATTCAATATTTTGCATATATCTGTACATAATTTAAATAAACATGCAAACCATAAAAAATTGTTCAGTTTCTTTTCCTGCCAAATAAAATAAAAAAGAAACACTACCTGTGTGTCTATGAGGTAAGATTCTTAATAGAATGTGATAGAAAAGTGGTTAAGACTGCACCCTGTCAAAGGTAGAAAACCTGCGAGACTCGGAAAAACAAGGCAGTTTCGTCGACTTTCGGCTCTCAGGGGTTTCACTGTAGCTATTCTTGTCTCTATTAAACCAAAAAAAAAAAAAACCCAAATCCATTGCCATCGAGTTGATTCTGAGTCATAGCGACCCTATAGGACAGAGTAGAACTGCTCCATAGGGTTTCCAAGGAGCAGCTGGTGGATTTGAACTGCTGACCTTTTGGTTAGCAGCTGAAGCGCTTAATCACTGCGCCACCAGGGCTCCTTGTCTCTATTAGTAAGAAAGAAATGGTGACAACAACTGAAATCCACATCTTCTCCAAAATTCATTGATGTTACCCCCTCAACTCTCACCAAAACAGTCGACATTCATCAAGACTCTGCTACCTGTAAGATCCTACAGCTCACCTTGGAATAGGGAGAACAGGAATGAGGCGAAGATATGAAAGAAACAGGTGGACAGAAAGCAGCCCCTGTTCTCCTGAAGCTTACGATCTGGTTACTAGAACTGTTCAATAGCCCACTTTTGAGCCTCACTTCCTCTTCAATCTGAGTGATGACGAAGTTAGAAAATGGGCCCTACTCTAGGAACTGATATTCAAAACTAATGGTGAGGGGCTGTCATCTGAGAGCACAAAAACTTTCCGTGAACCTCCAAAGAAATCCCAGGGTTAACAAGGAAGTTATTTACACAGCTCAGTGCCTGGGGGTTTGGAGGCAATGGAGAAAAGACTGAATCACCTGGAATATGGATTCCAAAATGTGTGGGTGGGAGGGAAAATCACAACAGCTTCCAAGCCATTCCCTGGAAGCCTGAGTCTTACTCATTCACAGTGTGATCAACTCCGAAAGGAGCCCGCCATGACAGAGTCAGCACATCTGCTACAGCTTTTCTGTAAAGAGCCAGATAGCAGTAGTGTAGCTTTCCACTAACAACCTGCTTCCCCAGCTGGAGGGAAGAGCAAGGTAGGGTAGTTTCATCTGAAAGGAACTCAACTCCCCTTTGCCTACAGAAAATACGTGCTTGTTTGCATCTCATTGTCAATGCTTCACCTTTAAAGTACATCCAATCTCTTATCTGGTCCATGTTATCTTAACATTAGATCATAAATTCTGAGAGGCCAGGGTACACAGATGCTGGGAAACACCCACCACAGCATGTTGGGGAGGGCACGTCACAATTACATCTCAGATTGGCACAATCTGCAGTCATCTCTTCCTCTCACACTCTTGCTATTTTTGGCTGCTGACGAATCTGCCCTTGACTCATGGTGACAGCATGCACAATGGGACAAAATGTTGCCCGGTCCTGCACCAACCCCATGACAGGTTGTAGACAGGACTTTTGTGATCCATAGGGTTCTCACTGGCTCCCACAATAGGCCCCCCAAATCCTTCATGGTTCCATCAGTGTGACATGACCTTGCTTGAGCATTCCTTTTGCCTAGCATGACCCATACCTTATCTTTTGGCTCTATGATTCCTAGCCCATAAATTAAGGTCTAACACATGTGGCATGTATTCCATGGGTTCATGCAAAAGGAACTTCTCTACCCGCACCTTAGTCCTGGCATGATGCATTGCAGCTAACTGTGTCACTACACTGTGAATTTTCCAGGGCTTCAAATGAGTGCAGCCATGGTTGATGAAGTGAAACTGGAACAGAACCAAATTTTTTTTTAAATTATGGGTCAAAGTCCTGGAATAGGAGACTCAGAAGAGGCATAGTGAGCCCTTTCAGAAGCCTGATGTATGCGATTGAATTACTGAATTATTAGGACTGAGGAGAGCGACACACATTCAAAGCTGCACGGTCGGCTGCCATCTCTGAGCGGGGTACCACTATTTCTGACTTTGCACAAAATTCCACGAGCAAGCGATTTGGTTGCTAGCAATGCATTCGCTGTCCTTGTTTTCTAAGAGGTAGATTAAGTTTCTAGCAGGGCTTCTACTTGTAATTTTTCCCACTCCAGTTATGGTTCCAGTTCACTCAAATTTAAAAAACTTGGGTCTATTCCGGTATCGCTTCCTTGGCCATGACTGAACTGGGAAGAACCATTTTGAAGCCCTGGAATTTTCTGACAGTAAACCCAGTGAAAGTCATACAAAGCTTAGTAAATGTCACATAAAGGTGTTCAATACATGTCACTGGAAAAATGATAAAGGCAAATATTGTTCATGAGTAATACCAACCTGGTATCGCCCCAGAATAATCTTGGCATTACATCCAGGAGCATTTTTGCAATATACATATAAATTGAGGACTTCCCTTTTGCAGCAATTGTCTTTAAACACCTAAAATATAAACATCATAGGTCACACATACTCCTACAACTCTACAGCAACGTAAAGAAAGCTATTATTCATTTGGTCTCTAAGTTCATCTCCAAAGTTGGGTGGAAACTTCCAGACAGTGGTTGGAATGGAAATACCAGACTCACCACCACATTAAAAGAAACGGCTATCTCACATACATACTGCTGGCACACCACCAGACGCACAGACAAGGTAACTCAGAGTTGCCCAGAGCAGCAGGCTATAGCTAGGAGAATCACAGTGAACATTACCTCATATGCTCAAAGGTCAGGAGGTGGGGCTGTGACCAAGATGATGCTTTCAGCTTCCTGTTCCAGGATAATGTTTGTATTACTTACTCATCATTAGTGTCACCTAAGCTCTACTGACTCGCTATTTCCACACAAGTCAGGGGTTGGCAAACTTTCTCTGTAACGAGCCAGATAGTAAATATTTTCCGCTTTGCAGGCCACATATGATCTGTGTCACAACTACTCAACTCTGCCACTGTCGTGCGAAAAGCAGCCACAGATGATATGTGAACAAATGGGCATGGCTGTGTCCTAATAAAATGTTATTTATTTACAGACACTGACATTTGAACTTTATACAATTTTCAGGTATCATGAAATCATCATCTTCTTTTGATTTTTTAAACATATTTTTATTTTGAAATAGTTAAGACTCACAAGAAGTTGTAAAAATAGTACAGAGAGTTCCCATATACGCTACCTTTGATTCTTTTCAACGTTTAAAAATGTAAAAATCATCCTTGGCTCATAAACCAAAAACCAAACCCATTGCCATCAAGTCAATTCTGACTCACAGCAACCCCATGTGTTACAGAGTAGAACTGTGCTCCATAGGGTTTTCTTGGCTGTAATCTTCACTGAAGCAGATCACCAGGCCTTTCTTCTGTGGTGCCACTGGCTGAGTTCAAACCGCCAACCTTTAGGTTAGCAATCAAGCATAAACTGTTTGTGACACACAGGGACCTTATCCTTAGCTCATGGGCCATACAAAATCAGGCGACGGTCTGGATTTGGACCAAGCGTTGTAGTTTGACAACCTCTGCTTTAGTGATTGAGACAGACACTAAATACAGAACAATCCTCTGGTGGGTATTTGAAAAATGCATGATAAGCATATAGAAAATGAGCATCAGACTAGGTACCCATTAAAAACTTCCTGGAGAAGGTGATGTTTGAGTGTAATATTAAATGAAGATAAATGAGTTTAAAAGGAACTTGTAAAGCAGTAAATCTTCATGACCTTGGGTTAATCAATGGTTTCTTAGATAAGACAACAAAAGCATAACAACAAGAAAAAAAAAAGACACATTGGACTTCATCCAAATTAAAAATTTTTGTGCTTCAAAAGACACCATAAAGAAAATGAAGATAACCCACAGAACGGGAGAAAAGATAACCTACAGAAAGGGAGAAAGTATTTGGAAATCATATATCTGACAAGCGACTTGTATCCAGAATATGTAGAAGAATTCTTACAACTCCACAATAAAAAGACAAACAACCCAATTTCAAAAATGGACAAAGGATTTGAATAGGCATTTCTCCAAAGAAGACATACAAAATGGCCAATAAGCAAAGGAAAAGATGCTCAACATCATTAGTCATTAGGGAAATGCAAATCAAAATCACAATGAGGAGGCAGAGCCAAGATGGCGGCTTAGTCACACATACCATAATGTCCTCCTACACCAGAGACCCAAAAAACCAAGTGAAACAGAAGCAGATAACAATCCAGGAACCCTGATCATTAAAAAAAAAGTCTAAGGACTGAACCTAACACCGACTGCAAGGAATAAGGAAGGAAGCGAAAGAGGAGTAATGGAATGGAGGAGCTCAGCCAGCTGTCCCGGACCCACTGCGGCTAACTTAGGACAAAGCCAGCGGTGACCTTGGATGAAGAAAACAGCAAGGCAACTTCACGACTTTCCCAAAAGAGACAGAGAACTCTATAGATACACAAGGAAAGGCAGAGACAGGGAGGGTGCCAGATCCAGAACCAGAGATATTTAGGAGCAGTAGTCTTTGATCTCAGGGGTGAGTGGTGTGCACGAGGTGATGGACCCGCAGAGTGTCGGTGGGAGCTCTCCCACCCAACCAGTCCCTGGGCAACCCTCACCCCCCACACTTGAGAGAGGACAGGTCCTGCTCACTGGCTGCAGCAGACACAAGGTGCCTTGACATCCATGTATCCTAGTCGGAGGAACGCGCCTCCCCTCACCCCATGCTCCTCATCAGAGGCAGCACAGGGTACCATATCCTGACTACCTTGCCTGACTAGGGGACCACAATAGAAGCTTGTCTCTACCCCTTACCCCACCCAACCCTGTCTACTATCCCTCCTGCCCGCCTGATGAGCAAGACTAGGTATGCCCCTGTGCTTGTGCCTGACCGCCACCTACTCCCCCACCAAGGGCCTGCTGGAGGGCAGCAGCATAAGGACAAGAGAGCTCACCCACTGCTCCTTCCTCCTTTCCCCTATCCTGCGCGATGCAGTATCTCTGAGCACACATCCGCCAGGCACAATTTCATTCCTTAATCCACCCAGTGAGGGGCAGAAGACCCATGACCATGCATACTTGCCCCCGTAGCCCCTTCCTCCCACCTCCCCACCTGACATGAGGCGTCACCACTGTGTGCACATCCATCAGACATGACTCCATCCCTGAACCCGCCCAGCGAGGGGCAGAGTGCCGTGACTGTGTGCAGATCACCCTGCAGCCCCTTCCTCCCGCCCTTCACCTCACGTGTGGTGGCACCTTTGTGCACGCATCTACCAGGCTCAACTCCATCCCTTAACCTGCCCAGCGAGGGGCAGAGGAGTTACGACTACATGTGCATCCACCGAGGCGCTTTCCTCCCTCCCCCTGCCCAGTGCAGGGCAGAAGACAGGTGAGTGCATGTGTACTCACTTGCTGCACCTTTCTCCCTCTTCCTGCCACCAACAGATAGATGCAGCGAGACTGAGTGAACATTTGCCTGCCATTCCTTCCTCCCTTCCCCTGCCCAGGAGGAGGTAGAGGTAGAGCAACTGTGTGAATGTCCCCCTGCCACCCCCTCTGCCATCCACACCTCCCCCCTAAACCAGAAGGAGGTAACAAGCACACCCCTACTCACCCATCACATCGGCCACTCCACCTACACAGAGAGCATCATTCCCTGCTCCTGAGCCACCAAACTGAAGACAGACAGAGACCAAACCCCAACCAACCCACCCTGAGCTACCCTGCAAGATCAGTAAACAGAGACTTGAGCTCTCACACCTACTCACCACTCCACCCTCCTGAAGACAGGTAGGCAGGGCTCCAGCACAGCCAGTCCAGCAACCAGAGCACCACTCCAGCCATACTTGCCAGGAATCATCAAAAAAAAGAAAAAAACAAACAAACAAAAAAACAAACTAGACCTAGTAAACAATTATACAAATAGAAAATAAATACAATAACCCCTTGGAGACAACAGAGAATAGAAAACCACCTAAAGAAGTGGAGCAAGATGGCCCCAGCAAGTGACCATAATAACCAGAAATCCTTCCTGAGGAAGAAAAGATAATGGAGCTTCCTGATAAGGAATTCAAAAGACTTATGTATAGGGACCTCAAAGGAATCAAAGAAAACAGATAAAACTAGGGAGAACATAGACAAAACCAAGGAAAGCACAGACAAAACACTAGTCAGGAAAACAAGACAAGAACAAAATGACAAAATAAACAACTGGAAATGATACAGAAACAGCAACTAGAAATCCAGAAGCTTAAAAATAAAATTGCAGAAATTGACAACTCAATGCAAAGTCATAGGAGTAGAAATGAAATAGTGGAAAACAGGATCAGTGGAATAGGAGATCAACCTCTTGACACTAATCTGTTTGAGGAACAATAAAAAAAAAAAGAATGAAGAAAGCCTAAGAGTTATGTGGGATACCATCAAAAGGAATAACTTATGTGTGACTGGAATCCCAGAAGGGGAGGAGTCACCAAAAAGTACAGAGCGAATTGTTGAAGATATGCTGACAGAAAGCTTCCCTAATATCATGAAAGACAAGAAGATAACCATACAAGAAGCACAATGAACCCCATAAAGGATAGACCCCAATAGAAGAACACAAAGACAAATCATAATCAGACTTTCCAAAACCAAAGAGAAAGAAAGAATCCTGAAAGTAGCTCGGGAAAAACAAAAGATTACCTACAAAGAGGCACTGATAAGACTAAGTTCTGATCACTCAGCAGAAACCAAGCAGGCAAGAAGGCAATGGGGTAATACATATAAAACCTTGAAAGAAAAAAACTGCCAACCAAAAATTATATATCCAGCAAAATTATCCCTCAAATATGATGGTGAAATTAGCGCATTTCCAGATAAACAGAAATTAAAGGGATTTCTAAAAACCAGACCAACTTTACAAGAAACATTATCGGGAGCTGTTCGGAAAGAAAACTGACAACATACCACACAACAACCTGAGATTAAAACACACAACAACATCAGACAGATATTAACCCAGATAAAGAATTATCAAAAATAAAATAAAGCTAAAAGATGGAAAACAGGGAACCAGAGACATCAATCTGTAACTGACGATCACTTCAAAACATAAAGGGGGAATAAAGGGTATAGGTTTAGAACTTCCATATGGAGAGGAAGTCAAGGAGATATCAAGAAATAAATTACTCCTTTAAACTTGGGAAGATAAAGGTAAACTTCAGGGTAACCACAAAGAAAGTCAACAAGCCTAATCATCAAAATATAAAATAAGAAAATTATAAAGATTCAGGACACACAAAACCTAAAACTGCTAAGGAAATGAAAAGACAAGCTACAATTAAAAAAAAACCTCAACACCAAAAATTAAGCAGAATGAAGACACTGTCAACACCACACACACAAAAAAAATCATTCAAGAAAATGACAGCAATAAATTTATATCTATCAATAATCACTCTGAACGTAAATGGCTTAAATGCACCAG